GTTCCTCCTCTTCCTCTTTTATGTGGAGGTGTTCTTGGTCCTGCTGGTCCACATCAGGCTTCTGTTCTTCAGGAGCTTCTTCTTTAATCAGTTCCATCTCTGCAGGAACCACTGAAACACAAGAACAGGACATTAAAGGAGAACTGTAGCTTTATATTCACACATACATCTCTTGTTGGACTGCTCAGGTCACACAGTTGGTTTTTAACCAAACAGGTTTTAAAGCTAAACTGAGCCAGGGCTCACTTGCTCCCRCTCTTTTCTTTTCTGCCCCGTTTCCATTAGTACCTACTTAGCACGACTAAGCTTGGCTCAGCATGGGTCCACACCGTTTCCATTACAAAAAAATCATAGAACCRATATTTTTTAGTACCTACTCAGTTGAGGTTCTATCCGAGCCGAGCCGTGCTGTGAAATGCGACGTCATGTCACTGTCGGTCACTGATTGKTTGAGGGGTGCAGTCACTGGTTGTGTCCGCTATCCTCACAAAAGCCACTCGAGGCGTGATTTTTTCTTAGCAATCGGCTGACCAACATTTGATTCTCAAAAATGGCAGMACAGAAACCCACACCGTAGTCAAACGCTGAGGTGCAGGAGTTTTTTGTGCTTGGTGGCAAAGGACAAAATTCAGAGTGAGATGGGTCGACTCGCAATGAAAAAGTGTTCAAGGAGGTCTCAGAGCTGATGGCCACTCGTGGCTACCAGCAAACGCCGAAGCAGTGTTGGAAAATTTTGAAGAAACTGAAGAGGGATTACCGTACGATCAAAGACCAGAACGGGAAGAGTGGTGCAAACCGCAAAACATGGAAGTGGTTTGATCAAATGGACACTATTTATGGCTACCGACCATCGAACATTGGGAGGGAGAGTGGCCTGGATACGGCCTCTGCTCTGCTGGAGTCCTTGATGGACGATGGTGAGTGTTATTTTTAACTGTATTTTTTTCCATTCCATGGTGAGTGTACTTTGAACAAATGGCAAACGTTGGCATGTTTTGTTTAGATCGCTGACTTCGCTAGAGTTGCCAGCTGTCCCGTATTGGCCAGGATTTCCCGTATTTTCAGCCTAACTGAAGTGTCCCGTACAGGACGCTTGTTGTCCCGTATTCTGACCGCATCCTGAAAAAAACAATTCTGTGCCGTCAGTGCGCCTCAGCTCCTGCTCTCCCACAGAGAAGCACTGCTGCCTGACTGCAGGCACAACCCCCTCTCTTCCTTTCYTTTTCTCAAGGCTCGCTCTCTGACACACAAAAGCGCAGTCAAAGTGCAAAATTCCTATTAAACTGCTTACAGCATCATAAAGACAATTTCATGACTGGACATTGATTTTTAAAGTTTTTCTCTGATTACATGAGAGTGTTGTTACTTCAAAGCAACAAGGTGTTAACATATTAATGAGTATGTGTGCTTTGGAGCCAAGAGGTAATGAAATGAGGTCATAAAATAATAATACGTTCATTTTCAATGGTTATTAGCCTGGGGAGATAGGATAACTCCCCTTAACAGTTCCCTTGAGACCTGCTGTACAGGTCACTAAACATTTTCTCGGTCACAGTAAGAAGTGCACATCCTAAGAGGGAGCGGCTGCCAGGAACAGTGGTGACCGGCAKCTGGAGGTGTCCTGAGCTACTACGCTGACCCAGAGGCCGGGGTTCATGAAGGGAGCGACCACTGGAAGTAAGGCAGCTAGAGACTGAGCAAAAGGCTCCCGCCCCTGTCTCCCAGAGGAGACAGGTCGGACATGGCCACACGGGCCCCCCCGGTGGCTGTAAGTCCGGTCCAACGCCTCCAAACCAAGAGGGAGACATTGTCTCCTCTCCAAGACCCATCGGTGTCCTTGTGGGTAAACTGGGGGAGGAGCCACACAGGAAAACATGGCGCCCAATGTGGGGCATGGCCTAAACTAGGACCGTCCCCTGAGAGAAGGGTTGGACCACAGGAGTGGCCCAGCTTGTCTACAAGAGCAGAAAATGAGAATCGAYTGCTCAGTGTGCTAAAAAAGAGCCAACAGCACACATCCTTCACAACAACCACTCGAGGAGTGGGAGAAGGAGAGGACCCTGCAGCAGAAGCTGCTGGAATGAACACAGCGACCGCAGGGTAAGTAGCTGCAATGGTCGAGACCTCATCCTGGTCCTGTAATGCGTGCAGGAGGCTTTGAGGATCGACAACTCCAATCAAGACAAAAAAAGCACAATGGCTGCTAAAGCCATGCCAAAGGAAGAGAAAGCAGGGACCTCACAAGAAGTGACCCCTGGCCCAGGGATCAGACAAGCCCYGCCAWGCATAGTTATGCTCTATGGCAGGGGAACCAAGGAATGGCACCCCACCGGTACGGCGCTCTTCATGTCACATTCCACAAAAACAGACCCAGTGCAAGCCCTGGCTGAACTGGAAGACCACATGACCAAGAACACATTCTTCTATGGGCCCACCTTGGTGGATGGAGCCATGCTAGCCTTGCTGCTGCATCCAACAGAGACTAAAAAGAAGGCCCAAAAGGAGAAACGGGTCAGGTGGTGGCTGACAACAGTGAAAGGATGGAAAACCGACGTGGTGAAGCTGGTAAGCCCATCGGCAGAGTATGACCCCCTGGTAAAATTGGTTGCCAGRKAACAGTTCATCAGCTGCAGGGTGGCCGATCCAGCATCCAAAACTGAAAAGAAATATAAGTGTCTGGAGCAACCCTTGTATGATCTCAGGTTATGGAAAAACATGTTGAAGTACAAGGACATAAATGGATATGAGGACGAGAACAGTGTGGTCAGAAATCCCGACCATACCACTGACTACGAGGAATCAGGTGCGGAGACTGATGATGAGTCTGAGAAAGAAAAACAACAAGAAGAAGATACTTTCGATGAGAAAGAAGATGATGATGATCGTTCCCACATTCAGAAAGAAATAGGGGAACCGACTCAGGCTTTGAACGATATAAAGACTTATTTGGGTCAAACCCCCGATTCGGAGCCAAAAAAGTCGGAAACCAGAATACAGAATTCTTTAACTATGAGCTCTCATGCTAAAGCGAGAGTTGACTCCTCCCACACTAAGAAAACAGGAGGGGAGGGGTCAGCTGAGCTCCTGTGCAGCAG